ATTCGAAGGCTAAACAGTGATTCTGTCTCCCCGATTCTCTCTTTCAAAAATCTCATCACCCACTTTCCGAAATTTGAATCAACTCAAATAAAACATATTTATTTTTACAAAAAAAGGAACTTTCGTTCAATTATTCACAGTCTCAAAAAGTTTGTTTATTGCTGATTGAGGGCACCGGTAGAGATATTAGAAAGGTCGATAAGTCGATTTGAAAAATCAAGTGCTGATGGCAACTCCATATTGTCCATAATGCGTCCAGTAGGAGATATTAAAAGTGAGGAAGAGCACCGGGAACATGACACGAGAAATGAGATCCGCCCGTTTCGACTTGTCATTCCACTCGGTCTTCGTCTTGATCCATTTCCAGAAGCTGTTACTTTGTCGACGATTCAGACGAACTGTCATCACTTCTCTCTCCTGTTCAGCTACTTCTCTTGGTACCCAAACATCATTATGCGAGTTTTGAAGGAATGGAAGTTCGGTTTTCTCTTTCTCTAGACGAGCTCCTGAAAAAAGAATTCGTTTGAAATTTCTAGAAAATCTGATTAAATACTTTTGCTAGCATCCTGCTTATTCGCAATGTATGTAACCCAGGCGAACTCCAGCAGAGCACAGAAAATGAATGTCATGCATGCACCAATCCACACATCGATAGCTTTGATGTAAGCGACTGGTGGAAGTTTTGCATTGATACCAGAAGATTGAGTTGTCATTGTGAGAAGAGTCGTGACTCCAAGAGTGACACGAGCTGGAACAGCAGTTCGATCGATCCAGAAGGATACCCAGGAGACGATGACAAGCATACAAGATGGAATGTAGAGTTGGAGTAGGTAGTAACTGAAAAGTATATAGCTTTCTTTGTCAAGTTTATTATGCCTGTAAAAAATTGGAGCTGTCGAAAGGAAGAAGCTTGAAGACGTTGCTATGGTCTCCATAACGAAAACCAAATTTTTTTTTCCTTTTTTTCTCGATTACTATTGCTTTTCGGCAACGCTTGCAAGATGTTTTTTTCTGGAACGTTTTTTGAAATGAATTTTTCCTAACCCGTTTTCCGCTGGAATGCAGACACAAAACCGAAAGACTCGGCAGTTGAATTTGAAGTTTTCGCGTCTATGCCAACGCTAATTTTACTGTAGAAATACGGTCATCGCAATTGAGCGCATTGAGACAATGTTCCAAAAGACACCATGCTCTTCTGTTGAAAGCCTACAAACAAGTCAGAAAGAACACTTTTCGTGTTTAAAGGACCGAATGTTTTAGGTTACGGTAGTTTTAGCTACGAGGGCCACAAGCTTTACTCTTCCACAGCTTTTTTTCGTACCAGAATAAAGCCATCATAATACTCTCGTAATTTTTCTCACCTGAACTGTCTTCTCAATTGCAAAATCGTTCTCAAACATGAATAGGCTCCAGTATTCGTCTTACTGGTACAATATGTCGTTGAAGTGTTGGTCAACTGGAACGATGGCAATGAACTCGAAAGACCAGCTTTCAATTGAACTGGATTCTCTTCTTTCCACACATATTCAATATCTTTTGTGGTATATGCATACGAAGCTAAGTCAATGAAGCACTGTTGAACATCCATGGGATAATATTGAAGATGCATTGGACAAGAGAGAACCAATGAGATACGAACGGAATACAGAATCGTTCCGTCTTTATGTACTCGGATCAGAATGTTTGGTTTATCGATCATATGCTTGTAGGCTTGTTTCTCATTTTGGAAGAACGAGTCAGGCATCCAGATCTCTTGTCCAGCTGTCAGAATCAAAAAGTCCGGACGGGCGTCTCCTTTCACTCCATAACTGAGTCGTTTGTCAACCCAACTTTCACGGAACGTTAGTTGAACACTGTACTCCATATTGACATTGTCGATTTTAGAGATACTTCGAAGCAACATATTCACAGAAACGACAACTGGTCCTCCATGAATTGTTCCATCTTCTCCAGGAGGTCTCACTCGATGATCATAGCCACGTGTCAGAAGATGCTCCAGAATTTCGGTATCAGATGTTTGAGGTTGTTCGATGGGCACGTGTGGCTGGAATAGGATTCGATTTCGAATATTATGGAGATCTTTGAGAACATACCGGAGCTGATATCCTTGCAATTGATTCCAACGTGGTTGATTGATCATCTTCGAAAAGATCAGACGACTTGTGCATCGGAGATTGTTCCTCAGATTTTGGTCTGCAAATTTTTGGAAGAAATTTTGAAAATATTGTAAACCCCTATTCAATGTTTTTTGTACTTTTCTTGAAATTCGAATCTTGGGTTTCTAGGAGTACATAGCTTTTACACTTGACACAGTTTTTTTCGACTACTGTTTGATCTTCAAACAACTACTGTTTGATCTTCAAACAAGTATCTCAAATTTCTTTGTGGGTGTTTATATTGTTTTAAAAATGACTATACCGTATTTACTCTAATTGCAGCCCGCCGTAAACAAGCTCAATTATCTCGGCCCCTTTAAAATGTATCAAATTTTGTCAACTGATAAAATAGTGGTGACATTATGATAAACAGTTAAAACGTTTTTGATATCTCTTGAAGGAACCGAGATAATGGAGCCCAAAAAAAGAGTGGGCTTCTATTATAGTACGGTAGGTTGGTTTTACGGTACCTAGAATGATAAGCATGAATGTTTATTAGAAGAAGACTGGTCACGATGAGTCTGCTCTTCATTGAGAACATTTTGGGAAGAAGTGACGTCGTCTGATTTTGAACAAGACGAAAATTCGTCCTTTGCTTCTTTCCAGTGGCAACGACGACGTTTTCGGAATCAGCAGTTTCGACGTCTTCTAATTCATTTAGAGGTAAGGAAAGGCACTCACAGAAGACGAAGAAGAAGTGAGAAAAAATAGAAAGACTGGAAGATAAAGAAGTAGGGAATGGGATGGAGGAGGCGAAATTATTTGGCCTGCGGGCAGAAATGGCCCATCGGTGGGGATGAAGGAGTGAGAAGTGATTGGAAGGAGGGAAAACGGGGAAACGAAGGGATAAGCTTGGCACCAACGATGGAGAAAAAAAACGGATGAAGGACTATAAACAAATGAAGAAGAAAAAGATGGAAGGAAGGGAAGGAGGCGGTTTATGGTTGTAGATTGAAAGAGTAGTTGAACGTGGGAAGAACACAAAAATTTGAAAAGGAAAGAAGAAGTGGTTGGAAAAGAGTTTTGTGTTGAATGGAATTGCAAAGAAGGAAAAGCGATTTCTGTAATGAGAATGAATGATGAATGAACCACTTCATAACTAAGATCGCATTAGGACAAGGAAGTCCAAATTTTGAAGGTTCTTTGAAATTAGAGTACAGGGTACTGATCAAAACTGGTTTATCTTTAGAAATGTATCGTAGAAGCGCGAAAATTGATAAAAATAAAATTTTAAGTTTGATTCAAAGCTACTAAAATTTCCTAAGCGATTCCTCAAGGATAGGTATTGTTATGTTTATCCAAAGATGAACGGCGTAATATGTTTGTGATTTCCATGAGATGAAGCAACTTTGACAAACGATAACTCAGCTCAAAGTTGATCGAATAATTTGAAACTTGGCCAGTACCGATTGAATCATTTGAATCCTTTCACTTCAAATTTGAACCCAGTACAACGCTATATTTGGATATGTTAGTACAAACTTTAGTCCGGGTAACTATGCGACACTCTTTGGATTAGAACTTTTTGAATTTTTCCAGCTTCAAAATATAAATTAGAAAAAAAACTTGAATTTGGGGATGTGGATATATGAAACCATATGGAAGGCTCATTCAAAAATATGTATGATGAGTTGGTAAACAAACATTATGCGCTCATGTTCTTTCCAGAGAAGCTTATGAAATGGAGTTTCTGGGATATAAACAATATTATTTGGTCTCATAAAAAATCTGGTTCTTCTAGAAGTTTATTTTCAGATTCACAGTTTTTTGACTTCCAAACGAAACCACATTTTGGCATTTCAACTTTTCAGACCTAAATTTTACGCTGGATTTTAAGATTTTCTTCAATCTTTCTTCAATGAATTGCATGTTTTACGGTGATTGCACCTAACTTTCTGGCTAGATTAAGGTGCAAAGTTTATGATCCACAAAGTTTACGATAAAACAGAAAAAGCAAGTTACTAGAACGAGGAACTAAACTCTACTTTTTCCAAATATGACCTAAACAAACAAGGAAAAAATTTAATAAAACTTTGGAGTAAAATTTTTCTCGATAGCGATTTTTCTAGACCGTAGGAATATATAGTTATTCAAAAAGTTCAATTCAAAAAGTGCAATTATCCAGGTTAAACTTTCGAACTTCAAAATAAGTACACAAGAACTTCTAGATTTTGATAAATATTTTCTAGACTTTGAAAAAATAAGATGATACATCTGCTATATTCCTCTTCTGTTTTTCAAAAAACCAATGAAGCGTTTTTCGACGTCTTCTTCTTTTTTTGAAGATGTGATTTTCGTGCGTGCACAACGTGTTCGTGTGATGGACATAGAAAACCAAAAAAAGGAGAATTCAGAAGACGTGGTGGTGGACAGACGAATAATAGAGGATTGGAGCCTCTCGAAAACCATCAGAAATACTCAAAAAATGGAGGAGGAAACCGGTGATCAAGTGACAGACTTTGTAGGGACAGTAATTTGTTAAAATTCTCGTTTTTTTGTTTTGTGTGTCTTGATTCGAAAAGACAATCGAAACGATAGATAGAGTAATTAAAAGAAGAACTTGAAAAAATGGAAAGAAGAGAGATCAATTCAATGTTGTGACAGAGAACGGAATCATATTGGGAGAGAGAAGGAAATGTAGAAATTGAAAAAATTAAGAAAATTTTTGTCCTAGAGATTGATGCAAATATCCGGAGTGTCTCGATTTTAAGAACGGATAAGTGATGAATATGTGAGAGGGTGGTTCTAAAATTAAGCTATGAGTAAGATTCTGAATTTTCGGCGAGGATTCGGATAAGACGCGAAATTTTAGACTACCGTAAAGCTTGTAATAGAAGGGCCCATTGAGATAATTGAGCTCGAAATGCAAGTGCACGGTGAACTTCTAATAGAGTGTCTGCGGTAATTTTTTAGACTTTGAAACAATAAAATTAGTAATTTCTACTCCGCTCTCAGACTTTTATACTCCCCTATTTCCAAAAAATCCAAGATGTTATGAATCCACGCAGACTCCCACGAATCCACGCAGACTCCCTTCCCCGCCGTCTGTTTTCTCTTCTTTCTTCACAAAAATCCCAAATAAAAAGTTAGCTTTTCTTTGCAAAAAGAATGAACTAGTCAAATTGGAGTTCCATAGAAACCTGGGCCTTGGACTCCCTGGAGCAAAACGCCAATCAAAAGTTTTCAATAAAAAATGGGGACCTCAAAAGAATTTGTTTAAAAAAATCCGAGACCAACCACAATGACGTTTATGAAGACAAATTGAGAACAATTTGACATAGAAAAAAAACAAGAGAAAACACATGTTGGTGGACCATTATGAAACTTTTCAAAGATGATGAGAAGCAAAAGATCGGATAGACGTAAAACTAACCTTGCTTTTGATTTCATTGCTAATTGGCTAAATAAAAATAGAGAAAAGAAGAAGGAAAGGATAGAATGAGAAGAAAGAGAGAAGGGGAAGGAACGAACAGAAGAACTCATTAAAATTCAAAATGATTGTTATGACGTGGCAGGAGAGATGGATGCCAAATATGGATCATTAGATACAAAATATGAGTCAATAACTAGGAGAAGGAAGTGGATGCAACGAGCTAGCACGCGATCTAACTTTTTTGCGTTTTGTTCTTTTTCAGTTTCAATTAGCAGCTAGTTGTGTTCATTAAAATTGGGCTAATTTGGAAGCCCACGTAGATGATGCGGTTTTTGTTTTACGGGTTGAGACAAAGATCTGTGAACAGAGAAAAAAAAGGAAAATATGAGATTTACCAAAAAAAACAATGGAAGAGCTGCACACTGTCAAGTTTGAGCTCGATTATCTTGGCTACTATGCAAGATGTCAAAAATGTGTCAACTGATAAAATGCTTGTGATGTTCTCATAAAAATGTATTAGTTGACAACTTTTGGATATCTTTGACAAGAATCAAGATGATTAAGCTCATTGACGGGTTGAGTGGGCTTCTATTAGAGGAAATATGGTAATAAGATTCAAGAACCTTCAAAACGTAGTAGTAAGGATTCAAATGGTATATTTTCCGGGAAAAAGTATCTCAATTTCACTTTTGTAATCAAGAGGATATTGTTCTGGGGTTCTTATGTTCTTAGGATTACCCGAGGACTTCTGACCACGCACTTTCAGATTTCCAGAACTTTCGTAGAAGGTGAAAAACTTGGAAACATGAAACTACTGAAACAAACGAGCATTTGAATATTCCCACATTTTTCTCTCTACAATTCCGTTATCCGTTTCGTAGATAGATCACTCATTCTGCTTGCCCTAGACATCCCCAGTCAATCCCCATGACCCAGATAACTCTCCTATTAATCCTAATTTAGTGGGTTCCAATTTTTTACTATCTCCATCAAAAACGATTTCTGATCACCGGAATACAGTTTATCAAGAAACCCATAAAAAACGGAGAAACTCCCACATAGAAATGCATTATATGATAATTTTTATGCTGTTTCAGCCTTCTCTCCCTCTTCCTTTCGTATATAAGCAGCTCAAAACTCCCGAAAAATTATCGGAAACTTCTTTCCATCTTCTCTCAAATATGAATATTCTTGGCCTCCTCCTCTTGGTCCTTCTTGCTATTGCAGCTCCACTCGTCGAGGCTGGAAGATCTTGCCACACGAGCGAGCAGTGCGACTACGTGGAAACCTGCTACGAAGGACACTGTTACACCATCGATGAACTGTTCGAGAAATACAACTTGAAGAAATAAGATTGTTTCTTCACTATTGATTGTGTTTTTTGAAATAAATGAGCATTCCCAATTACAGTTTTTTGTTGTCTTGGGGCCGCCGAAAAAAGCTCAAAAAGATTTCAAGAGTCCATCAAGATAGGGTTTAGTGCTAAAGAAAAAAAATCAGTCTAAAAAGAATGGGCCGAACCGGGGATTGAACCCGGGACCTCTCGCACCCAAAGCGAGAATCATACCACTAGACCATTCGGCCACAAATTCATGGATTTATCATTCAAATCAAATCAGAGAAGTCTGATAAGATGAGGTGGGAGATAACTTGAATCTTATCTTTGCCTATAAAGAAGATGTGATGAAACAAGGAAGTGGCCAGTTCTTATCGGTGACGCAATACCTTTAAGAAGCAAGACAACTTATGTAAACGGAGTTACCGTAATTGATCTAATAGAAAATGGTCAGATCAAGTAATTTTCTTCTTATTTTCCGACTGAACCATCAGAAGAGCTTCAAATGATACAGTTTCTCGTATATCATCCCACCAAACGAATTGTCTGATTCCAATTCCAGGAAAAAAATTATCTCGATCTTCACAGAAAAACTGTTCAGAACACTACGCTCGTTTCTAGATCATCCATCATATCATCTTGCTCCGAGACCGGGCTCCGAAACCCGGGCTCCGAGACCCGGGCTCCGGGACCGAGGATCCGGGACTCGGCTCCGGGAATCGGGTCAACGGGCCAACAAGGGTCATGGGTTACTATACCAAATCACGTATCATTTTTGGTTTTATCATTTAAAATCTTCTTTCTTTTTTGTCGATTTTTAAATCCAAAAATACATTTTTTCATGACATTCAAATAAGAATTGGTATTCCATTTTTAAAATCTGTGAAACCCCGTGAAATAATTGTCCCGTTTGACCCTAATTATCTCGGTTCCTGTGAAATATATTAAAAAAATTATCAATTGATGTAGGGGATATCATGATAAATATTTCGTCCGTTGACAAACGTTTGATATCTTTTACTGGAATCGAGATAATTGAGCTCAATCTTGACGGTTTGCAGGGCATTCTATTAGAGTGTTGACTGTATTAGAAAGAGTTGATGACGTTAGGAAAAAGGATAAGAAATCCACATCTTCGGGACGGAGGGCCAAAAATTCAGATAAGAAAAAAGTGCAAGCCCATAAGTGCGAACAGTCAGTTTATTAGATTAAAATTCAGATTCGAACGGTATTTGTATTTCTACTTAAACCTAAAAACTAAAACCTGAGAGTATAAAAAAAATCAACGGCAGATCAAATAAGTGACAATTTTTCTGTCGAAAAATAAGTGCGAAAAGCCCAAGGTGGGGTGACAAAAGGTTGGGCACAAGGCCCTCCAAAAGAACCTATTCTTCTATTTTCTCAAACAAACACTTATAACCAAGAGGCAGTCCTTTTCGCGAAAAACGCGACAAAAATTGTGTCAGGTGTAGAAAACGAAAATGAGAGAACATAACTTTTGAACTTATTTCCCGCTTTATATGTACTAACACCCACGGATACTAATTATGGAGCTCAAGGAGCACTAAAAAATGTGTTGGAAGTAATCTGAGAAGAGATCTCTGAAGAAAATATGCAATGGAAAAAGAAGAGTGTGAATAGTAAATCTGTTGTTGGGTTGTCGAAAAAGTTATATCCTTCAAAATATGAATATGGCGAAGGGAGAAATTGGAGAGAGAAAAAAGATACATCCAAAAGTTCCTTTTCCGTATTCTAGGTTTTCCCACAAAACGTGTCAAGTTTCATTCTGATGATGACACCCCTTCTCCCGAAACTTACTTGACGTCTTCTTCTTCTTCAGGTTCTTCGACCTCTTCAGCAGTTGTAGTTGTAGGGGTTTCAGTTGTAGTCGTCATTATGGTAATAGCTTCTTCCACAACAGTCTCCTGGGTTTCTTCTTCTTCCTCTTCCTCATATTCTTCAGTTTCACCTCCATTCTCTTCACCGACATCTTGTTCTTCCTCTTCTTCTTCTTTCACCACGTCTTCTGGCTTCTCAACCTGAACTTCCTTCTGTTTCACTAGCACTGGCTCCGATTTGATCTGCACATCACCAGCTGCTGTATCTGCACCTTCATCGTAAAATGTCAAATCCTCTTCTAACAAGTGATCTATGTCATCCTTGTATTCTTCGTAGCTCTCGCGTGCCTCTCTACTCGTACCGTTGTGATCGAAATCCTGGAAAATTTTATTGAAGTGGGGGCACTTCTAGATAGGAACAATGCGGAACTGGACAATGAACAGAGCAAGAAGTTGTCACAATTGTCCTAATTTCTCTAATAGAAGCCCACCCTATTTGTGCACTTTGAGCTCAATAATTGCGGTTTCTAGGAAAGATATCGAAAATCTGTCAACGGAAAAAATATTGGTGATATAATGATAAATAATTTATCAGTTGACAACTTTTTTATATCTTATGAAGGGACCGAGATAATTGAGGTCGGACTTCTATTAGAGAAAGTACAGTGACTACAAATTTTAGTTTGGTCTTTGGCGGGAAGAAGTGTAGTAAGAAAAGGTTCAAGTTTCATTTTTTCTGCATAAATTTGATATTTTTGGATACTTTTTGAATATGAAAATGACAGTGTCCCACGATCAGGAATGAAAATAAACTGCAGTGTTGTCTCAAATCTCAAACAAAAAAAGAACCGACTTTGAAATCAACTTGGATATACCGTAAATGCTCTAAAAGAAGCCCACCCTATCCGTGCACTTTGAGCCCAATTATCTCGGTTTCAAAAAAAAAGTATCAAAATTTTTTCAGCTAATAAAATGTTGATGATATTATGATAAATATTTTATCAATTGACATATTGTTGATATGTCGCATAAGAACAGAGATGGTTGAGCTCAAAGTTGAACTATTATGTCGGGCTTTTATTATAGCATATTCGGTAGTAGCTTTCAAAAAATGCCTTTTCATCTAACAGTAACACCATATCAAGCTTTAAAAAATTTTTCTTCATAATTTGAATTTCTTACAATTAAATCTTAATTTTTAACCAAATCACTAGAATTTTCTGGAATTCAGAGATTCACAAAAGCTTGAAAACAATTCCAGTTTGTGAAAATGTTCCTGACCACGAGGATTGCAAAAAAAAAAGAGAATTCTATTGAGTAGGAGGACATCTGAGCACCAACTGGTCTTCAGTCTAGTGACTAAAAATGTATTACTCGTCACTCATCAACACTCGAGCAAAAAAAAAGAAAGTGATGCTCATTCGACCTGAAAAAGTTCTCACCCTCCCACCATCTTTGTTCTTTATCGCCAAAGAACAATAGGGCCTTGGGGAGAGAGAAGCTATTGGAATCTTCTTGGATAATCAGATCATGTTTTTTGGCACCAACGGCTTTCTTCTAGAAAAAAGACTCACCGCCAAAAGCAATCCATTGTTGATCATTGATGGTGAATTGAATGCAGCTGCATTGTAAGTTCCCTTATTCTGTCGCATGCGATTCAAACTCTTTGGCGGTTTACATTCTACTCTGAAATTAATCGGATCTTCTTTTTCTTATGCTAATTTTAAGCACCATCTGCATCTAACCAATTAACTCCCGTCCAAATACAGATAAATGGACAGAATGTTTGTTTTTTTTCTCGTGTTTTTTTCGACTAGTTTGAATTATGTACAGCCATTTTGCTCGTTAAACTAATATGGTTATGGTTCATTGGTAATTCAGTGGAAATATTAGATGAAGAAACGAGAAATTAAACACAAAAGTTGAAACTTTTTAGTTAGTGCAGAAGTTTTGGAGACTATGAAAACTCATCAAAACTAGGATTTTTTTGCTTTGGAATTCAGGTAAATTTCTGGAGTTTTATAAAGACCTTTATGATGTTTATGGCATAATGGTTAAACCATTTTTATATGAGTTTTTATGAGCGCTTGTTTAAGATTGTTTTTGGAGCATAATTTTCCACCTTTAGGAATTCCAGAATCCGTGAATTTCACCGACCACTTCTGTATCGCTGTATTCTGAACTCCAATTCACCTGTACTAAATTTGGGGGAACTACCGGAGAACTCAAAAGAAGAACCCCCACACTCTCGCGTTTGAGCTCAATTATCTCAATTCCTATGCGAGATATCAAAAATGTGTAAACTGAGAAAACACTTCTGATATTATGATAAACAATTTATCAGTTTATCACTTTTTTATAATTTTGATAAAAACCGAGATAAATTGGCTTAAAGTTACAGGTCTTAAGGTAAGTGATTTTTGTATTCTCCTGGTATCTGATCATTATCCACTTTTCATTCAAAAAAAAGTTATCTCTCTTTTTCCGTAAATCAGTTGTATTTGTATTTGATCACATTTTGAAGAAGAAGAAGAACAAGAGAGAAACACTTACAAGACAAACAGGAAAACTGAAGAAATTGATACAAATAGGAGGAAGCCTCCTCTCCGCCATCGACCTATCATCCTCGCACAGTTTGTGATAGATAAAGGAAAAGGAGCCCTGCCAAGAACAAGAACAACGAGGAAGGAGGATAGGGGAGGGAGGAGCAAGAAGCAACAGACTTTTCTTTTCCTTTTCTCTTTCCTCTCTTCGTGTTGCGCAATGAAAAAGAGAGTGCGCAACAATAGGGTGGAGAAGAAGCTGAATAAGATGTGGAAGATGGGCACGAGTACCATCAAGAGGAACAGATTAATTTGGGGAAAGAAAAAGGGGATTCTGAAGAACAATAATGATGATGGCGAGGGTTATTAAAATTTATAGAAAAGAGTCACTGGTACAATCGCCGTCCAGAAATTTGATGTCACGAATTACAAATGGGCCGTTTGGTTGATCCTGGAATTTTAAGAAAGTTATCGGGGATTGATATCAAGTTTCTTGTTTCACCATCAGAAAAAACATGTTAAATCATATTGCTACATCGGCAACTGACCCGCTAACTCCTTAAATTTGACCTTACCGTAATCCCTCAAACTACAGGGTATTCAAACGAACCTTACCGTATTTGCTCTGATAGAAGCCTTCTATAAGCTCACTTTGAGATCAATTATCTCGGTTCTTTTGAAAGATATCAAAACGTTTTCAACTGTTAAATTATTTGTCATAATAACATCAATATTTTATAGCCGGACAACTTTTTGATATCTCTCTTAAGAAGCAAGATAATTGAGCTCAAATACGGTATCTTGAAAAACGATGGAATCGGCAGCTGATAAAAAACTTCTAGAAGTTCTCAACAGTCTCCCATATGCATCTAGACGTTTTTAGCTTTTGAATATCTTTCAAAAAGTAAATTTATTACTTAAAAATTAATCTGTCAGGCTTTCAACAGCAGCTGAGTAATTTTCATCTTCACCATAGCTCTAAAAGCGTCTAGATGTTAGCTGACCCTTTCCCTAAGAAAGTTTCACGCAAACCATTAACTTTGAGCTCATATATCTCGGTTCCTGTATATTATAATGGACATTTTATCAGTTGACCACTTTTTGATATCTTTCACAGGAACCGAGATGTATGGTCTCAAAGTTTGAAGGTGGAGCTGCCCTTTGAAGTTCTTACTGTATCTTATTTCATTACCGACGTAATCTGAAAATGTTAACTTCTAGATGTTATTTTCCAAATATCTCTTTTTTTCCGGAATTTCTGATACTGATGACTTTTCTATGTTACTCATGATTCTGACTAATGTGGCCATCTGATCATAACCTAATTCAAATTGATATATCTCCTACGAAGCGTTACTTTTCATAAAATTCCTCTCCCGATTTTCGAAATAATGTCACATGTTCCATATAATTTTTCACACACTTATGATTTTCAGAGAACGCGGAAGCTTACGAAAATCTTTTTCGTCGCTTGCTTTTCTCTTTTTTTGAGGGATAATCAGGTCAGAAGGATTTAATTGAATGATTTTCAGAAGGAAGTTGGGAAGAGCAGGAGACCAGGATCAAATTTCTAAATATCTTACTTTCATATCTACGAGAAACTTTTTGTTGAGCCGCATCTCGTTGTCAACGATATCCACTCGGACCATTTGTCCTCCATCCCTAAAAACGAAATCCTTTTTTGTCTTTGTCTGCTTCTCTTCGTTTCACACACTCTCGTGTCGCCTAATTCTCGGGAAACTCACGAAATAAGCTCCGGATAAAACTGCCCGTCCCAGGCTTTATAAAACGAATTGCAAACATAAAGACGGCTGCCGTCTTTAGATAATTGCATCAATGCGGGACCTCCTCTGAACTTTGTGCCACGTGGCAATGAACGGGTCTCTGGGGGCAGCCACCAACGATCCTCCATTGCATTAGAAGTTTTGATGCGCACTTCAGGAGAACTATCGAATACTCCCCCTAGATTAATCTGAATTCAAGATGTTATAGGATACGTGCATCAAATGAAATGGTAACCTTTCCATGAAGGGATACTCTGAATGGATCCTGAATATCAAATCTCCAAACAATGCCATGTAAGAATCCACAAACATACAGCCATCGATCATCCATCGAGATTATCATATCAGTTAGAAGAGCTGGCATCTCGTCGCTCACCCAATTTTCAACCTAAAACTTTCAGGCTAAAAGTATTTGATAAAACTCTGATTTATGATTTGTGTTCGAACAGAAAAGAAATCAGAAACATGAGTCCAAATTCCCTAAGCTATTACTCACTTTCAAAGATGGCACATGTGCCACTCTATCAGCTTGCCATTCGCGACTCAACGTGTTCATGTGCAGGTGAAAAATAGATGATCCTATCGCGGAAATTGCGAAAGCATGGTTACAATCCGTATTGTGCAAAAACTTGACGGAAATCACAAGACTCCCATCAAACGAATCCAAACCAATTGATTGTAGTAACTTCGGAGGGCTGATCTGCCAGACGTGCAGACAAGATCCAAAGCTTTCTGACACTAAATTATGAGCACACAAAGTCATTTTTCTAGTCAAGTCAGTAAAGAAATTTCAGGGAAATACCGTTTTCAAGTTCACTCGGCTGAAAACCATCACGAAACAAACGAGGATGTCCCCATTCGCTGGAAATCAGAAGGTTGTGGCGGGGTTGAAGCGAGAAGTCACCACCGAAAGATGAGAACGTGGGATCGCTCTTTTTCCGGATCTCCCAGGTTTTACGATCAATCAAGACGAAATCACCTAGAATTGATAATTCAGTGTCTTTTTATCTTTTCAATATACAGTAAGACACACAAAAATGTATTTCCAGTTCAATTGCGGGCATTTTGACCATTTTCAGAAGTCTGGAGCTCGGCTTTCCAGTTTCCGATCACTTAGAAATTTTTGGATGGTGTAAAACAGACCTAGGTTGGAAACTTTACAATTACAGAATTTTTTGAAACTTTCTATTTTTTTTCTGCTATTTTCCGATTCCGGAAAGACACCCGTTTATTCACGTTTTCAGGACAAAAACGGACAAAAAGGGGTGTCATCCAGAAATCGGAAAATAGCTAAAAAACTAGAAATTTTCAAAAAATTCTATAAATGCAACGACTAGGTCTGTTTTACACCATCCAAAATTTTCGTGATCGGAAATCAGACAGCCGAGCTCCAGACTTCTGAAAATGGTCAAAACAGCCGAAAAATAACTGAAGAATTCTTTGTATCTTATTGACCAGTCCAAACCTTTTCCATGTCCATATCTATCTCCCATTGTGGAAACATGCACTGGTGCTCCTTTTAGTGGGAGTGATCTCACTGCATAAGGACAGGAAACATCCTTCCGGAATAGCTCATCGCTTCGAATTTCCTGCAATTTAAAGATATTTTTAGACTTTTATTTCTTTCTCACTTGGATTCTAAACATCACATCCTACCTTTTCCATATAAAACTTGTTTTTGTCAAACCCAATCACATAGATTTTTCCAGAATTCATGCAGGGTACAATGATATTTTTTCGAATCAGCTTGTCCATTTCAATCAACGATTCCGCGGATTTCGCCCAATTCATTCTTCCAGGCTCGTCTCCATTTGAGGTCAATCGGATTTCAGAGATGATTGTACAGTAGGTATCACTGGTTGGATCCAAATCTATCAGTGCAATTTTATCACGATCGAATCCAATTGAATGGGGACAACATATAATTGCAAAAAGTTCATCATCTTGTTCCTCATATGCCTGTCTGTAGTCGTACATTTGATGCTCCACAGCCATTGGAGGGCGTTCATCGACTTTTGAGAAGTTGGAAAATTGTTGTTGTATTTCAGTTTCTTGAGCTGTTGGTTTAGAGTACTCATGGCTCTGGAATATTATGTACTATTTCGAGAGAATGGTAATTTTTTAAGGATAGATTTCTAGGCACAATGTTATGGATTTTACTTGCAGATATTCAAATAAAATCTGCAATTTTGAAAGAAATTTCAAGATTTACAGACCAAGAGCTCTTTTCCGATGAATTCAGGCTTACGAGGTAGTGTAACGGCACCCGAACTGATAAAAACGCCTACATCTCTAGGAATAAGTATCTTGGGAAGCATAAAAACTTTTAGAAGTTTAATTTTAAGTTTGATTCGAAACTACGGAAATTTTCAAAACGAACCCTCAAGTCTAGGTTTTGTTATAGTTGTGCAAAGATGAACGGCGTAATGTTTTTGGTGATTTTCAAAAGATGTAGCAACTTTGAAAATCGATAACTCAGATCAAAGTTGAACAAATAATTCGAAACTTGGCCAGCTTACTGATAAATTATTTGAATTTTCGCACTTCAAATATGAGCCCAGTAGAACGCTTATCTCAAATTTTATACCAGAACAAACTTTGGTCCCGGTACCTTGTGAAGACTAATCAAATGACAAAAAGTCTGAATAAAACATCGCCAGGTGAAAATATTCACACTACTTGGGAGGTCTAATCAAATGTGCTCGATCTTGAATTAGTCATTTACAGAATCACTGTCTAGCACAAAAATCCCTGGTGAACTCAGAAAACTCGACAATAGAAAAAGAATAAAACTTACAATACATACACCCATTCAGAAAAAGTAATAATAAATTTGATGTATAAAAATGAATAATTCTGTCTTCATAGGCATATTTGGAAGGATGATGGAGGTGTCTAATCCGGACACGTTAAGGTGCTTATGGCCGAGAAAAGAAGAGAGATCTTGCTCCTGTGGGAATAATTGAAGTGGAAAGGAAATTCTGTTTGTAAAATATAATGTCTAGAAGTTTCTAAAAACAGGAATGACAGGTCTCTGGGAATCTCGTCACAACGGTTCCTAAATAAGCACGTTATCTGACTTGTGACCATGAATCAATGTCCTGAACCTTTGCCCAATAGATTTTTGTTATTCAGTTTTTTTTTCTGTCTGATCTGATTCAGAGTGGCTGTTCAGGGTTACCTTTGTTTTCATTTCGTTACTCCTTGTTCCTAGTTCTGTTCCATTATTTTTGAGATGCTTCAGTTTCCTGTCGCAGGTAAGAAACAAATGATGTCTGGGGTAGTTTTGAATTCTCAAGATATTTGCAAAATAGATAACAACATGGGCCCAGTTTTTGTTTTGTATCACATTCTGAAACATACAATTCTTCATTAGCTAGTTTTTTTTGCTATTTCAAATATGCTCCATGAGAAGCCAGGTGAGCTCAAAGACTGAAAATTTTGTGAAGACAATCATAAAAGTTCTCATTAAATCAAATATTAGAATATCAAGGATCAATCCGGAGTCAGACTGGTCTTACACTGCTCAAACTTGAACAAATTAGGAAGAACAAGTTCAGAGCCTCAACCTATGTTTCGTAAAGTGGTTCAGAAATCTTTTAGCAAAACGGAGTTTTCCAACAAATTTCTATCTAAACATTAATAGTTCGGGCGCAAACCACTTCTGATTGCTGCATTCTAGAGAATTATTTCCTGATTAAAGAAAGCAAAATATTGCAGTTTTTTTTTACTTCCATTATGCTTTTGATCAAACCAGCCTGTTTGCCTCCGGCCCTTCAAATAGCTGGCTGGTGCGCCTTCGGTGCGATTTGATCTATTTTTTGCTTTATCGTCGCTTCGTTCCTCTTTCTTTTTAAAAGGTCACGTCAAATTATATTCAATTTTCAAGCTTTTCAAAAATGTGTGAACAAATCCACAGAGAAAGAGACGCAACTTCATTTATTTATTATAAGAACCAGCCTGTTTGCCGCGCCTCCGGCGCTTCAAACAATTGGCTGGTGCGCCTTCGGCGCGATTTAACCTATATATTTTACTAGTCGTCACTTCGCTGCTCTGTCTTACTCAAAGGGTCACGTAAATTTATATTTTATTTCAACTTTTTCAACGTGAGCGGACAAACATAATAACAGGGAAAGAGACGCAACTTCATTTATTTATTATAAGAATGATGATTGAATAACGTTTATCGACTAATGTAGCTAGATTAACAGTTGGACCTCCTAAACCATGTTTTTGAGAGAATTTAATGAAATAAAAGAGCTTCGAAAAAATCAAAATTACTTAAATCTTTTAGTTTTGAGGATTTCAAAGATGATCGTACAGTATCACTGGATGTAAGAAATAGAGTAGATATTGGTATCTGTAAAACTCAGAATCCCAACTTAAATATTGGGAAGTAGAAGAATCCGGAATGTACAATTTCCGTAAAACCTGTAATAAAAGGGCCCCCGAGTTTTTTCTTTTTTCTCGGTTCCTGTCGAAAATATGAAAAAGTTATCAACTGATAAATTGTTTATCATAATATCAGGAGTGTGTTGTCAGTTGACACAATTATGATAATTTTTACAAGAATCGAGATAATTGAGCTCAAAGTTGAAAGTTGAAGGTGGGTGGGGTTCTGTTAGAGGGGATACGGTAGCTGAAGGCTTATATATTTTCCAATTTTTGAAAACCAAAACTTTTCTGAATTTATTTTCAGGCTCCCGAAGCTCTTCAAAAGTTCTAACAACAACTTTTCCTTCCAAGTCATCCATTTCTTTATGAATCATGAGATCCTTATTTCCTATGAAATACGATCTTTTTCCCCTTTCTCATGGGTCTTCATAACTATTTCATTTTTCCAACCCCCTTGAAAACAAGACTCTCTTGTTTTTTTTTTGCAAGTTTCCGCAAAATTCCAAATGACCATTTTTCATTTATTTTCCCAACGTCGCACATATTCAGTCTCCAATTATTTTTCACACCGCCAAACGACACTTTTTCCATCTGTTTTGGGGGAAAATTTTCATTTGGTTCCAATTTCGTTGACTTTGTTAGTTCCCCTATTCCTTGAGTTTTCTTCCACATTTTTTTATCCTTGATTATCTTTGTGAGAAGATTTTTTCGTTCTTTCCCACACTCCAACTTGTGCTTTGTGAGCTAGATTAGGAAATTTTAGGAAATCGAAAATTAAAAAGGACATGCTGTGTCTGGTTCCAGATTTATTTTTTTTGGATATTTGAATTAGTTTGTTTTTATCTGTCCGTTTTCTGTTCTTTAAATATATACCCGGAATAGGTACAGGTGTAGGTAACTAGGTTATACAATCAGTTTACTTTCTTTCTGAGAATCCATGAACTCCAAGAAACACTAATTGTTTTGAATACAAGTTATTACAACTGCCAATCTAAAAACCTTTAAAGCTTTTATTTAATCTGTTTTCATCACTTTCGCTGTTTGATTTTGTTTTTCGTAAAAGTATACAGCTGTAGCAAATAAGTATAAGTGTAGGTTATGTGGAATTTGAACCTGGCAATTTGTGGAGTGGACAACATCTCCACCAGTTTTTGAAAATCAAAATCACAGACGATTAGATTTCTGTTTCGATTTGTCTTGTGTTTTTTTCACAAATCATATTATTCTGGTACAAAAAACAGGGGCTGTGGAAGAGGAAAGCCGGTGGCCGTGGTCCGAAGGTCTCACAACGACAACTACCGTAACCTAAAAATATGTTTATTTTCGCCGTGCTTTTTAATTATTTTTTTCTAAACGAGTCGGAAAATTAACGATTTTGATAGTGAAAAAATGGACTGAAATCGATATAAAAATGATTTAATATAAATCCGTTTTTAGGTTACAGTATTTGTCGTTGTGGGACTTTCGAACACGGCCAACGGCGTTCCTGTTCCATAGAACCGATTTTTTTGTACCTTTTTCAGTGACACATTAGTGCTCAAAAATTTTTGTTCTTGATTTTTAGATCTTCCTCATTAGCACGGTCTGGTTGGGTTTTTACTGAATTTAGTTAAAACCAAATGTTCACTAAAACAAAGCTACAAAAGAAGGTAATTAAATTAACAAATGCTAAAATGATGTGACTGATCTTGCATGCTTTTTGGAATATTTTCATATTGAAATTTTTATTCTATTCATGAGGTTATGTACCTCTTTCTTGGAGTATTTGACCTGATGATACTGTAATCATTCGAGCAGCTAATAATTTTTGACTTTCTACAAAAATTGTCATTTCAAAAATGATAAAAATTCGAAAGTTCATTTTCCCAGACTGACACCTGCATTTCAAATTTCAACTTCCAAAAAGTGAACTTTTTTGAAATCTCTCCTGCACTTCGAAGTGCATGGTTAACCGAGAAAATGCTAAAACAGCAGCCGAAAGGCTGAAAATAATTTCCAGAATTTTTGTGTTATGACCCCTCATCTGGTATAGCGAAGATCAGGAATCGGTTTTCCCCGTCTTCATAGTGTAACCTGATTTTGAGCAAACCTCGTTTTCAGTAGTTCCTCATAAACGTCTATATTCTGATTTTGGCATTCGATAAAACATTTATATTTAACCAATATAATTGACATTGCTTTTGAAATCCTAATTTAGTTTCCAACTTCTGACGCGAATTTCCGCAACAGCTGAAATTATCTCTTCCAGATTTCTGTTGTTTTTTTGGAGTCATGAACAGAAAAAAAAGACAAATGTTAGATTCAAAAGTCTGTTTCTAAGAAAATCGATCTTTTAAAATTCAAGTCTTTAATTATAGCTGTAAAAGTTTTCGCAGTGTCAAACAATTTTTGTGACTGCCATCTTTGTGATTTCCTCAAGCTCAAAATTTTTATTATCACAAAGAGCGCAGAATACCATAAAACCTGTATTAGAGGGGCAACCCTTATATTGTTCCAAGCAACATCTGGAGGGCGCTTCTATGTATTAGAGAGCTCTTCTATAGAGGGTTTTCTGATAGAGCGTTTACGGTGTTCGAATTTTCTTGGCCAATCATGAACGAAAAATAGATTATAACGTTTCCCAGAGCCGTTCAAGCTGAGAGTACCTTCAAATTTTCAAGTTTGAAAAACATTGTTTTGTTGCTCTCGGACCAAATTAAACGCAAAAACAGATGATTCAAAACCGGAAACCCCTGGATTCTGAATTAGAATTTCTGATCCAAAACCCACTCCTTTTTTCTAGATACGAATGCGTAGAAATCTGCAATTTCTAACCCAATTTTATTTGTCTAGAGCGCTCATGTGCCTACACAAACAGCCTTCGTCTCATAATTGGGGTCCCCCATTGGTCTCATTTCTTCCAGAAAGCCTCAAGACTACAAATGACATTCGCGCCTGAGCAAGCAGGCGGGGGCAGAGCACAATCTGTTGCTTTTTTATCCTTTCTTTTTGTTGTTACTATTTTTGGTTTCTGAAGCCACTAAAACCAGAAAAGTGGAGTCTATTATCATAAGATATGTACTTTGTAGGATCTACTACAAAGTGTGACTTGAGACTGAAGATGAGAGCTCTTTCTCTCCTCGTGGATGTCTTTTTGTCATGAGCAAAAAGTGGGCGAAGGTCCGTTGCATACTAGGATTATGTATAATTGTGTGAATGGCAACATGTGTTTTTCTAGTTACGCGTTGTTTTTTGCAGACTTTGAGCTTACAGAATTTGCCTCTGTCAAAAAAAAGCTAACATTCGAAACTTTAGAATTGAAGTTCATTAGAAACTAGATGTCAAAACAAGGAAACATTTCGAAGAGGAGTTCATTTAAATTTTCCGTTTTTTGTATGTATAGCAGTTAGTTGACATATTGGGAATTCCCTTTTTCAAATTCTTTTAAAGAGTTTCTGTACTACAATTCTACATTCTTGGACTCTGATCAGTAATCAGAATTTTTCAGTATTTGCTACTTTCAACACTTTTCTTTTTTTTTTTATCGAGTTTGTATCACTGAAACTAGTTTTTTTGAACTAAAATACCGTATTTCCATTACTAGAAGTCCACCCAACCCGTCAACTTTGGGCTCATTTATCTCGAGCTCTGTAAAAGATGTAAAAAAGTTGTCAACTGATAATTTGTATATCATAATATCACCAACATTTTACCAGTTGACACATTTTTGATATCTTTCTCAGAAATCGAGATAATTGAGGTTAAAGTTGACCGCTTGAGGGGGAATACGATAATCAGACGACTGAAATTCGTTTTTTTAATTATAAGAATGGCAAAGCCAGTCTAGACAATCACTTTTATTTTTTGTTTCACAAGATCTCAGAAAATCTCAGAAGACTAAGATTTGAGTTCAAACCTATATTTGTGTTTACTATAAAACATTGTCTAAATCTTTAACAATACTGAACAAAAAATAACAATTTAAAAAAATAGTATTCCCTGTAAACCAACTTTCCTCTATTAATGTCTATGCCCTCACTCCCTCAAGACCCAATAAAACAGTATATTTTTCAGGCTCATCGCTTCTAACCAATGCATCAATGTTGGGCATGAACACCACTTCCCCGCACTGCCCAATGGAGGCTCAGTGGTTTGTCGGAATCTACACAGTTGTTATTTACGCTCCATTGGCATTTGTCTATGTCGTGGTGGCCAGTCTTTTCATTAAACATCCAAATGCATTTCATCCACTTTTTGTGTAAGTGTCTTTTTGGAATTGTGGACACGAACCGAGATGAATTGTCTCAAAGATACAGGTTTTATGATAATTTCACCTTATCTTTTTTCAGTATCTCATTCTTCTTGATCCTCCTCGCATACACGACTTCAAACTTTATCCTTTTCTTCCGAAACCTTCTGGAATTTTTCTTCATTGATGAATTATTATTCTCAATTTTGGAATTTATTCTTATCGCTGCTAATTATTACACCCAACCGATTGTTATCCTTGCACTTCTTGAACGGTTAGCAGCTACCGTATTTGTGACAAACTACGAGAAATCATTACAATGGATTCCTTACCTAATAGGGCAAATCATTTGTGTAAGTACAGTAGCTGTAATTTTTCTTTTTGAGGGCTCATTTTCAGGTAGTCTTCGTAGTCCTGATGAGTTTATCTCAGCACGAAGGCAACTTGATCAACAATATTCAGATTTGTCTTTCGCTTGTCATTTGTGTGGTGAGCCTTGAAGCTATGCGCTTTGTCAGTATTTATAGTTTTTTGCAGTGTCTGGTGGCGTTATTCTTAGTAAATCGGAATAAAACTGCGAATTCGGTGGGGAAATCTACATTGACCACTAGGTACCAATTGGCCGAAAATATCAAAGCATTGAGGTAAGGGATCAGAGAGCAAGGTTGTGAGCGTGCTAGATCGTCTGGGAAAAATCCGTGGGAACTAACTGGAGACAAGATGTGATATATATTTGGTCGTAAGATCAAAACGTGCTTCTTACAGTTAAAAGTGTATGATAGGAAAAATAAGTATGGAATTATAGAGGGTGACGCATAATTACCCGGACTAAAGTTTGTACTAGCATACAATTTGAGTAAGGCGTTGTCCTCGGCTCAAACTTGGTTTGTAAAAATTCCAATATTTCATTAGCAAACTGGCCAAGTTTCAACTTATTTGATCATCTTCGAGCTGAGTTATCGCTTGTCACAGTTGCTGCACCTCATCAAAATCAAAAAGGAACATTACACCGTTCTTCTTTGAACAATTGTAACAATACCTTGAGGAAAGCTTTGAAAATTTAGTAGCTTTGAGTAAAAAATAAAATTGTATTTCTACCTATTTTCATGCTTCGAAGTTCTTTATGTCTAAAAATATTCCCGTTTTTATTAGTCCGGGTAACTGTGCGCCACCCTGTACATATTAGAAATTGAGAATCTTATAAGCTCGACTTTAAAATATCTGGAAACTTTAAAAAAATCTTCAGAATATTTGTTCCATTCATCGTACTGGACAATGTCATTTCAATTATGTTCGTTATCACAAGTTACACTATTTCAATTCGTAGGAAGTTCGATGAGGACGAATGTAACAAATCTTCAACCTATGTGCCGATTTTTTCAATTTTAAGAACGGTATGCCACCAATTAGGGAATTCTTGAACATTTTTCTTTCCAGATAGCGATCCTTATTCAAATTTCAATGGCTGTCATTGTTGTCTACATGCATGAATCGATGAAAGTTTCGAGTTTGAGAGACTATTGTTATCGGAGAAGTAATCGGTCAGAAGACATTAGCGTCACAATCAACAGACCTGATAAGCTCAAAGTGAGTCTATAGAACCATAAACGCAGATCAAAGGATCCCATTTTCAGATCAAAAATGTGCTTGGTAAGAATATTGTGGAACGAGAAACTGGAGAGAATTACTTTGCACAATTGAGCAAGCAGTGGCAAAAAGTTTAACTGATTTATTGAATAAAAGTATAGAACATTTGTAAATACGATTAATAAATTATGTACCATTTTGGTCAATGTTACTTTTCCCACAATGTCTCTCAAAAAACTCCGAAAAATCTCCTCCCACCTTTCTTCAAAACGCAGAGCACACATCTTAAAATTGTTGTCCTGATTGTCGAAAAATAATCTGAGGGTATAAGACTTTTGGGGTTATACTAAAGAATTTAGGGGTACAAAATACCCGAAAAATTCAAATTTTGTACAAAATCCTTGTTGTGGAAGTTCCATTGTTCAAATTCCCAGTTTTTTGATCTCAGCAATCTACAAGAATAAATAGAATTCATTTTCAAATTTTAAAAAAATGTTAAAAATATTGTGGAAAAAGAAAAAGCATAAAATTACTTTTGAGTAATCGGTGGCAAAAATATAAAATACAACAAATGGATTATGTACTTCTCAATTTGTTCAATATTCCTCCTCCATGATATCTTTTGGGTGATGACGACGTTTTCTGGAGACGATGAGCTCTCTTTCCTCCTTCGGGAAGATGGTCTCAAGATTCAAAACTCCGAGATCAAAAGTCTTCTTCGGAACTTTTCCTTGGGTGATGTAGGATTTTGGAATCAGGAATTTGACTTTGCGGGAACCAGGCTGAAAAAAATGGCTTTCCGAAACTGTGTGTATACTTTAAACTCACAAGAATGTCATCACAGTCGTGATAAACCTTGAAAATCGGATCAATTGGAGTCATCTCAGCTTCTCCTCCCGACAAATGGAACTTTCCATCACCGTCAGTGTATCCAGCCTCCAAAAGGTCATCTGGATCTGGTCCCGAATCCTCCTCCCACAGCTTTATTCTAACATTGGCTGCTGGCTTGCTTCCACAGAGCAATTGCCCTTGGACAGCGATCGATTGATCTCTCATGGCAAGAGCTACAGACAGGAAGGATAGGAGGATCAGGAGAAGAAACTTCATGATTCTGAAAAGTTATTGGTTTTGAAGAGTGAAGGAAGTGAAGGAATTGTTTTTTGGAGCGTGCGTTTCCGAAAATAAAACACAAACACCAGCCAACTTTCGGTTTATCAAAACTGTTATCAGCTTTTGTGTTTATGAAAAAAAGAGAGTGCTTATTTGTCCACATCCAACTGGAATGATAAGGGAATGATGAAAGTGACAGAGTTGTATAGAAGCCAGAATTTTCGGATTAAATTTTTAGAGGAAAAGGAGGAACTTGAAAACGATGGGGAGGATATTTTGTTTCGAAGCTAGATTATGATCAGATTAAGATTCCTGACGTGTCCATGTGTCCTTTGTCGTCTTGTTTAGTTTCAATCGAGCTGCTCCGCGTCACTTCGAAACTGCGACACTTCGAAACCGGTAATTTCGGAACCCTGGTTTCGGAAATGGGCAACTACAAAAAGTTTCGAAAACTACAAAACAACTTCAGGGTTTTCAAATAAGCTTTTTCTGGTAGAATACATTCTGAAATCCGAAAAATCCAAAATTTAACTTTTTCATAAAAAATTGAGTTTCAGAATGTGTTCTAACAAGCATATTTGTTTAGGTTTCGAAGTAACGCGGAGCCAATTGAACTGGTGCACTTTCGGTCGGTCGAAAATCTTCGACCGCCTACCGACAGCCGTCCAAGCTGACCGAATTTGTGCATTTTCGCGTCAGGCCCCAGCATCAAAGTTCAAAAAATTCAAAAAATGTGTCGTAAAATAAAACTCTGCGTACACAAACACTTGTTGACGCGCAATTACGCAATTACGAGAGTTCGGTCGGCTGTCGGTCGGCTAAACTTCCCGACCAAGTGGAAGCGTTGAACGAAAATACGGAAAAATTCGAATTCAAAAATTTATATCATCATCATGGAGCACAAAAATACAAGAAGAAACACGTAACGAATCGGGGTGGGGAGCAACAAAATGTTGGAGGACATCGGGTGGACAAAAAATAGAACTGGGAAGGAAACGAATAGATATGAGAGGGGGTTTTCAATATGAAAAATATAGAGAACTAATTGGGTTTTTATACAGACTGATTTCAAAAATATTTGCGATTTTCGAATTTCCAAACAACCAATCATCAAAGAACCACAAAAGTAGCGCCGAAGGCATCAAATTAAACCTAGAGAGCAGTAATTGAGATAGTTTCATTTTTGGACAACTGATTTAAAGGGCGGACGTAGATTCTCGGATGACATTCAGAAGACTCCATGTTGACAATATTCACTTCGGCGAGCCATCGTTTTGGGGTTCGGGAGGATATCTAAATGTTCATCAATATATTGGAAATATGATATTTCCTGGATCTTACCTGACTACCATCGTCCCATCCAGAATCAATTTCATCGTCAATATTTGGCCAGTCGACATTGGGAAGGTTTATCGTCGTTAGTGGTTGCCAGATTGGAAATGCCGGGCTTTCGGATTCTATAATGATGTCATATTTTGCAGGATAGCTAATTTTTCTCAAGATTTTAAGGATTCCGAAACCTTTCCAAAATGCCAAAAAATTTTCATTTCTATTCCTGACGTTCCAAAAGGCTCAAAACACATAAAAAATGTCCTTATCAGAAATCAATGCTTCAAAACAATGAAGGATTTCTTATGAATCAACGAATTTTCGAACTTTGTAGTTTTCTGATCTTACCGGCAAAACTGGCTTGATCGTTTTTGTTCAAATCCAACGATGGGAGGATCAATTTCGTACTGCTGCTTCCGTTTTGTACCTGAATTAAAATTTCTTTTTGGTTTCTCGAACTTCGCTTTGATCACATTTCTATTTCAAACAAACATACCTTATCTATAACGAGTCTCGTCGATACTGGCTGATATGCCGAGTAGCTTCGCGAGCCAGATGATACACAACAACAACAGTATTCCTCGTACAGCACTCGCTTTACTTTTTTCCAATAGATTCTGAAAATAGAAATAGGTTTTCTTTACAAACTCTAGAACAACCCACTTGAAGACATCTCTGTAGTCCTGATTGAAAATAAAATAGATGATACAGTTGACAGAAGAATTGAAAACCACTAAAAAGTTGCTAGTATCCGAGAGGAAGTTCAGAAGGACTGGAGATGGTTCGGTGAAGTTTTCAATGAAGTTCACAACCAGAGCCAACGTATTGCAAGCCAAGAACAAAATAACAACCATGATCATGGTAATAGTGTCATCGGAAGTTCCCTCGTTCTTCGGAGCAGATCCATCGGTTTTGGCTTTTGACTGCCTTTTTACAATGATAGCGTTGATACACAAAAGGAAGAAAAAGGGGAGGAGCGTCATAAGAACCATGTACATATAGCTGGAAATGAATTTCAGATGAGTCTTTAGATTCAAAACCTTTAAAAACTCACATATTGTAAACCGAATTGATAGTTACAAAAAGAGACGTTGGACAGATTTCAATGACTTCTTCCTTGGTGATGTCATTGAAACACTTGCGAAGATTGAATTGTGGAAATCGAAGAGAGTTGTACAGAATCGAAAGGACCACAATGGAAATGCAAATCTCTTTTGCTCGACGGACGGAACAGTAATGCTTGGCTTGCGTTTTCCAGCAAACATTCATGAAACAATCCACCGCGGCTGCGACTGTGAAATAAATACTGCACGTCTGAGCCATATATCCAAACGGGAGAGTGTAAACCGTCGTGTATGGAGCCTGTGTGAGCTCAGGAATGTATGACCTTGCAGAATCGATCCAAAAAATGAAGAGACCAGTCACGATGACCATGAAATCACTACAAGCCAGAAATAGGAGATAGGTGTTGGCCGAGTTTTGAAGCCTTTTTCTTGTGTAGAGGAATACATTGATGATGTTGGTCAGGACGCCGAATACTGAGAGGACGGGAAGGGCAAGAATGATCGTCAAATAGTTGGCCCTGAAATTTCACAATTGTGGGAAGTTCTTTTGTCACAGGGTGGCGCACAGTCTCTCAGACTGATAAAATCAGAAGTATCTTTAAGTATCTTAGAAGCCCGAAAATTGGTAGAAATATAATTTTACGTTTGATTTAAAGCTACTGAAATTTTCAAAGCAATTCCTCAAGTCTAGGTATTCTTATGATTGTCCAAAGATGAACAGCGCAATTTTTCTTGCACTCCGAGGGGATTTTCATAATTTGAAGCAACTTTGACAAGCGATAACTCAGCACAAAATTGATTAAATAATTTGAAACTTGGTCAGTTTTCTAATGAATTATTTGAAATTAAGCTTTCCGACTTTGAGCCTAGTACAACGTTTCGTTCAAAATTCATGGTAATACAAACTTTTCTCCGGATAATTTTTAGAACCAACTCTATCGCTCCTTCTTCGGCAAAATTTTGACACTCACCACTCAAAAAACGGCGAATAATCGTCTCTTTGAATATCGGAACACAAGCATTCTGTCGAGTTCTCGCTACCTTCCCAGTCCAGAATCATGATGCTGTAAAAGAGAAGAAATAAAAAAAGTGTGAAAAGTTGAAAAAGTATAGATTTCTCTCTCCCCTCTGTGGGCGGAGGAAGATGAGGACTTAAACAGGGTCAAATTTCTTAACGTTCTTCTAATTACTCGCGGAAAGCTTTTGAGCCATAAAGATGAAAAGAATAAAAAACGATGCAGCAGATCAGGTCAAAAAGTTGATCCTTCTCTATCTCGTTTTTGAGTTTTGATGGTCTAGGTCACAGTTCGAGAGTTTATGGAATTTATAAAAAACCTTGATCACTTAAACCTCTAGTCACAAATCTGGCGTCTTCGAAACCTGATATCTTATTTTCACCCCATGAAACTGCTCTATTTAGCTTTTATTGGACCTTCCAGTACACCAAACATAATTGGATCTCAAACAAAAAAAACGAAACATGAGAAACAGAAAAAGAAAAAGAATGTGGAATGAAAAATCAGAAGACATATACTTATACCAAGAATATCTAGCCGTTTTTTGTACCTCTTCTTCTTTTCCAGGCAATTGTACTTTTCTTTGCTTGCGTCAGACATGTACACAAATAACTCAATTTTTGGTTGTCTTTTGAAGAATATTTGAGAGGGTGGGATGAACGAAAACATTGTATCCCTTGTTCGTTGAGCTTCTCAGAATATTTCACTCATTTATTCAACCTAGTCTCAAATCGTTATAGGCTATGGAGTACAACAGAGAAGATAAAAATTGAAATTAAATTCAGTTCCGGTCATCCGGAAAATCATTAAAGACGCTTGGAAAAATTGAAAAAAGGAGCTGAGTGTGTGGAAAAAACGTAGATATGCCAGGAAAGAAAAAAGAACAGACATCTGTGAGAATTTCCCGTAAAGCCTCTATTAGAAGGGCACCTTTTAATGAAGGGAAACACTTTTTTTCTTAAACATTTGATAAGGTTCGTAGATTTTCATGACCTTCAAATTGGCCTAAATTGGCATGAATTGTCTTGAATTTGGCTGAAAATCAGCTCAAAATAGGCTTAAATTTGGCTCCAAATTCGCTCAAAACTGGCTTAAAATTGGCTCAAATTAACTTAAAATTAGCTTAAAATTGGCGTAAAATTAGCTTAAAATTGGCTTACAATGTGCTTAGAATGGCCTGAAATTGGTCAAAAATTGACTTAAAACTAGATTAAAAGTTGCTTGAAATCGTATTTTGAAGCGAAAACAAAGTCGGAAAAATAGAAGAATCGCCTCTAATTGAAGGGCCCTCCTGAGGTACCATGGGGAAAAAATAGAAGGGCCAGCCCTTTTAATACATACTAATGACAACAAAATAAATTTCTAAAAAAAAAATAAAGTTAACATGTAGAAATTTATCACAGCCAAAAAATTGCTTCCAATTTATTTTTAACTTTAACTTTAAAAAAATATTCCACAACTTATGTAAAATCCAACTATTTTGAGAATTCCCAGACACAATTTTCCTGGTAGACCCAAAACTTTTCCAGACATAATCCGATCATACGCATTTCACAAAACCAATCAAATTTATACATTTTTCATAACTTACTCTGGTATTAATGGTATCATTCCTTCGAGTATTGTCGCCGTCCGGTTCATCCTTGAATCAGAAAAAATATCACTAGAGAATGAAAAAACAGAAGAAGAAGTATCAACTTGAAAACCTAGGAGAACGAAAAATACTTGAGCGGAAAAGAACTCACAAAAAAAGAATTTCTGGAGACTAAAAGTGGGCGGAGTCTGGGGAAATAGAAAAAGAAAAAATAAAGAACAAATAGGTTAGAAGAGGAAAAGTATTTGTATTTTTTGGGGAGTCAGTTAAAGAAGACCCTCCAAAAAGAAATTGGTTCTTCCTTTCAGATAGGAGGAAAACGGATTGATTTGGAAGAAACGATTGGATGGGTAATTGAATAAATTGAGGTGGGATGAATCTAGGGGAAAAGAAAAGAGAAGAATAATTTGAAACGTAAATGAAGATTCCTTTTTGAGGAAATGGGAAAAGGTGCAGTTACAAGCTCGTTGATCATGTGTACTTAGAAGATGTAGATCTTCTTCTAGACTGCAAGTTTCGAATATAAATGACGAGTAGTGGGGACCAAAAGAAAGATCTATAATTTCTTTTCTCCAGATTTCCGTTGCCACGTCACCACCATTATCTTCGTCAAAATGGCATGTGGTTGTCCGCCGGAGAGCCGTCAGGTTTCACACAATTTTTTTGGAAAAAGGCGGCTCTATTTTTTTTCTTCATAAAATCTCAGCTTAGGTATGCAGGAAAGAATCATTGACATAGAGGAAGTAGTGGTGTTGGGAAAATTTTTTTTGGAAGAAAATAAATAATTAATAAAAAAATAATTGTTTGGTTCGGAGAATGTCAAGAAGAGAAAATGGAGGTGCACTTGTTGTTTTCGGAGGAGGGCAAATAAAATTTGGGTGGCTTTTGAAAAAGTACAAAAAATGGGGTTGGGTATTATATCTAAAAACAAAAAAAAACATCCACAAATGTTTTCGTTTATAGTTCAGTTTTTTTGTTCTGTTGAAGTCTGAAGAAATTTTACTGCTGCTGATTTCAATGTAAGAACAAGTTGTCAACTAAAAAATCGGTTGTTTCCTCTTAAATTTTCCACAATACATGATCCAGTAAAACCAATGCTTCAACAATAAAAACATATAAATTTGATCTGCTCCCGTCCGAAAATAGATACCGTAACATTCTAATAGAAAGCCACCTCATACTTGCCTTTTGAGCCTATTTATCAGGATTCCAGTAACAGATATCAATAAAAATAATTAACTGCCAAAATGTTTATTATAACAACAAAAGTATTTTGTCAGTTGACCACTTTTTGATATCTCTTACAGGAAGTGTGATAAATAGGCTCAAAGATTTTACGTCTTTGATTCTAATTTAACCTGGAAACGCCTAACGGATTAACTTAAAGACAAAACACAATTTTTTGATAAATGCACAAAAATCTTTCCCTCATTAAATAAGAAACATAATTTTGCAAAAAAGAAGTGTGGGAGGCATCTCGCCTTAATTGATTTATTTATTCATTCATGAAATTATCTAGAAATTTTCTGAAAAAAGAGAGAATCTTGACGATCCCTTCCACTTCAAAACGTCACTCTGATTTGTGAAAAGAATTTCTGAAGTCTGGATTCTGAATTTCAGATGATTCTCTAAGTTTTGGTCCTGGGCCATGAATCATAGGGAATCGAGAGTACTTTACTGTCATAGAAGATAATTGGTGACATCATTTAGAACTTTGTCATTTCGAGTTCAAGGATGAGGATACACAAGAAAGTTATACAAAAATAAAGTGTAGTTTCAAAGAGGGAAAAAGGGAAGAGGCTATTGTGAGAATAATCTGGTGGCGAAAAAGGGGCAGGCGAAGTTGGAAAAGTTGAAAAAAGAGAGGAAGTAAAAAAAGACTGAGAGACAGGAAGAAAACTGAAAACTATCCATCTCCTTATTTTTCGAAAATAGAAAAAGAGATCATTGAGAAAAAAGGAACCAATTTTGTAGATTGTAAAATCGTTCTAGACTAATTTGAAACTATCAAACGGATTGTCACTGATTTTTGTACTACCATTTTTCCTCCAATAGAAGCTCACCCGAACCTTCAGCTTTCAGCTCAGTTGTCTCGATTCCAGTAAAAGATACTAAAAATTTGTAAACTAATCAATTATTTATCATAATTTCCCCTGTATTTTTTTAAGTTGACCAATTTTAGATATCTATCACAGGAATCGAGATAATTGAGCTCAAAGTTGACGGTTTGGGTAGGCTTCTATTACTTTCATTAAAAAAGAGCTCATGATTTGAAAAACATTAAATTTTTCTCAAAATTCCAGAATGTATAATTTGAATACCTGTAATACAAGTACATGATTCCTTACCTAGGAATCTGTACTTCGAAAACCACCCTTTGCTCTAACCTGGCCTCCATTTTTCTTGCTTAACTTTTCACATTATGTAAATTAGATCCCCATCTTTATGTTTGTTTTATTTTCAAGAAAAATATGAATAGATGAGTTTTTGTTAATCTAAAAATCTGATAATGGAGAATGAATGGATTTCTCAGAAACTTGTCAGGAGCATCTGAATTTCCGGCAGAATGGATTTTCTTTTTTGGGATGTTTCTACTTTTGAAAATGAGTTTTGTTTCCTAAAACCAAAAGAACACTTATCTGATTTTCTAAAAGTGTCAGAAAGAAACAAAAAGAGGCATCAGGACTTTTAAATATCAGACATCATGTGGGCCAGAATTTCTTTGAAAGCACGTGTTTTTTTTCAATATCAGATAACCAGAAATAAAACCGGCAAATAATTCGGAGGGTACTAAACTTTTGGGGTCATTGAGGTACGAAGCCATTTAAGGATACGAAATCTTCAATTCGAGGTATGACAGACCTGAAAAATTGAATTTTGTACCGCTAAATTACTTTTTACCATCTTGTGCCTCCGAATCGTGGTACCATCCGAATTATGTGCAGAAAAACCTGGTCCGGATAACAAAAAAGGGCCGTAAAGGTGTTTTGACACCACTAGAAGGTTAATGAAGAGATGTCAAAGCGTATTTTTCTGGAAAAAAAGAAAAAAAGAAGATGTATGGAAAAGGAAAAGATGTGATGATGCTCCTTGGAAGCCGGTTGGGTATAATTCAAAAAAATAAGAAAAGAAAACACATTACATAATAAACATAATGAAACCAAAAGGATCTTCTGTGTTCCATGTTTTCTTTTCCTTTTGTCTTTTTTTCAGAAAAAAAAAACTGAATTCGAAGAATCTTTTCTTCCTCGTTTTGACGAGAGAATTTTAGCTAGATTAATTGGTGGTGAAAAGGATCGGAGGAGGAGTGTAAAGAGAAGAATGGCGTAACGTTTAGAAATAGATGATAGAATGGGAACGTTCCGGAAGATGGGAGCTTCCAGAATATGAAGAAGAGAAATCTCGGAATCATTAGATGGAATTGGAACTAGTATGAGTCAAGGATTTTCT